TGACAGATTAAGGAAGGACAAATTTAGACAAATCTCAGTCAAATGTTACAATACTGAATATTTCAAACAACGATTACTTGACTCAATTGTCAGTATCAAAACTTTCCCGGAAACTGAAGAAAATAACTGTATGTTAACGTTTGACAACGATGTTTACGATTAAAACATGCAGCAATTAAGGACTAATGAGTAGAGATATTAAAAATGAAACAAACTAAGCGTACCAACGGAGGCGAAAAAGTAGGACGATGACGAGTGGGACCAGGACGGACAGGATCGTTGTCCTCGTCAGCTAGCTCTCCCGGGATTTTTGACGGCACATTTGGCGGCTTATACTCTTCGAGGCACTTTCTTATACACTTTTTCTGCAAAATGAAACAAAAAAACAATAGCTAAACTCAAATGCCAGCATCATCATCCTGGAAATTCATCATCATCCTGGAAATTCTAGAAAACATGATCGAGAGTTTGATAATGTTAAACGTCGTTCGCTCGCGGATTTCTTTAAGATTACATTACACGGTAATTTGGGAAGAATTAGTAAAAATGTTAAGTAGTTATGAAGCAAATTAGGCTCACCACGACAGGCCCAAAAGAAGGACGAGGGCGGCGTGGATCGTTTTTCTCGTCAGCTACCTTGCCCGGCTCTGTTGGTGCCGGTGGCGGTTTTGATGGCTTATGTTCCTCGAGGCACTCATGGATACACTTTTTCTGTAAAAGAAAGCATAATAACGAAGTAACCTTCATTGTTTTACTGAACTTAGTCCATCTTGACTCCCGGATGAATGGAAGCCACTTTGTAATTTACTGAATGTTCCTCGACAGGCTTTAGATTTGGGAAAATCGCCATACTGAATTGATAAGTTCATTGGTAAGGAATTCTGACGGATTGTAAACAAGCAAAATTTAGAAAAATCGGTGGAAGTTTCCAAGACAACTTTTTCAACCGGCAACATTTAAACGTTTGTTCACTACATCTTATGCTTGAAGATTCACGAAATGTCACGATTTGATCCGTGGGAGGAGGACAACCACGTGAAAAGTTTCGAAATTTGAGTTAGCAGACGACAAATTTGGGCCTGACTCCAGGTTTATTTGACTCCTTAGAGATGCGATTTTCACAAAGGAAATGGCAGCATTTGTTATCATCATTACTTCGAGAGAAACCCTAAAAGATAACTTGACAGCTTAAAATGGTGGTGTTTCTTCCTGGGTTCGCTAAGCGAGACAAAAATCCATGAAATATGCTTCACCTCCTCACCCCTCGGGCAATTTTGGTCGAATGAGTAAAGATCTGATTAAAAATGAAGCAAACTAAGCTTACCATGGCAGGTGGAAACGAAGGACGAGGGCGATGGTGTGGATCGCTTTCTTCATCAGCAAGCTCGCCCGGCGTTGTTGGCTTCATCTCTCCGAGGCATTTTTTGATGCACTTTCTCTGAAAAATGAAACATTAAGTATAATAGTGTATAACTCTCATTGCTCTAATGAACTTAGTTTCTATGGCGGTGCCCGGATGAATCTGTCTGATAACTCTGCCGCCACTTTGACTTAGTGACCTTTTCATGATAAGATAATGTTTCAAGGTATTCTGACAGATTGTAAACCGAAAAAAACTTAGAAAGATTTCAGTGAGATTTTACAACCCAATTTCAACTTACAATTTCCTAGAACCTTATGAAAACAATTGTGTAGTTAAGGCAAAATCTGTTAGATCCTTTCCGTGAGCTGTCAAAGAATGTTTTAAATATGAAAACAAACGTGGTGATCGAAGGAACGCCTTTATTGCAAAATATCGTGATTTTTATACGACTCGCAGATCAATTATTTTGATCAGCGCCGTCTAATAATTACATTATAACAGTGAAAAGTTGAACGTTTTTTCGTATGCGGATTTCTTTATTACGACTGCAAAATGCAACAAATTGGGTTGTATGAACAATATAATTATTAGATAGTTACGAAGCACATTAGGCTTACCAAGACAGGCCGAGGGGGACGAGGACGAGGACTTACACCGCTTGGACGAGGAGGACGAGGACTTACACCGCTTGGACGAGGACGGCGTGGATCGTTTTCCTCGTCAGCTTCCTTGTTCGGCTTTGTTGGCAGTTTTGATGGCTTATGCTCTTCAAGGCACTCTTTGATACACTTTTTCTACAGAAAGCATAAAATTAATAAACCTTCATTATTTTTACAAACTTAGTTTTTATCTTAATACCGAGATAAATCTGTCCTGGCTTTAGATAACTTTACAACATGAAACAATTTGGTTCAAGGATGGAGAACGGCTTGCATGTGAAAAGGTCGGGGATCGATGCTTGTCGGAAAATTTAACTTAAACAGGAGACCAATTCGGGCGCGGCTCGAGGTTTATTTGACCTCAGAAATATGCCATTTTAAAAACGACATGAAAGCCGGTTTTTTATTATTACTTCGAGAACAACTCTAAAAGATAACTTGACAGCTGAAATAATAGCTTCTGTTCCTTAACACCCTAAGCGAGACCTGAATCAGTGATATACACCCCAAAAGGAGAAGATGAGCGTTTTTACATGGGAGTCCAACCTTCTTCTTCGGCTAATATGGGTCGAACGAGTAAAGACATTAAATAGTTATGAAGCAAGCTGAGCTCACCACTTTAGGCGGTAAAGAAGGATG